CGACCTCGCAAAGAGTTTTAATTTAATTAATATTAAAGCTGAATTCTTTCACCGTGATGTCATGCCAAAAGGTGTCTTTTCTATTTTTAAAAAAGATCCCGGCTCTATTGATTTGTGATTTGGTAATATTAATTACAGTTTTAATTACAATTATAGTTTGAATAATATAGTTTGATTAATTACAATTATAGTTTGAATTTGTTCTGAGAAAACAGTCAAACTTCAGACCAAACTTCTACGCAGTTACTTATTTAGTAGTTTTATAATTAACTGCCCATCACTTTTAAAACAGCAAGAAGATAAAGACAACGTGTACGGTTGAGTTATCCATGAAATAAATAGTTGGTTTACAAAATGAATTCCGTCTTTGTGGATAAAAATTAGTTATAAATAATCTCTCCTGTAGGCCTATGTGTTAAATGCTACATGTAGGGATTTCCCCCGGTATATTCCTTCTCTTTTGTATGGCTGTTTGTGATTACTCGTCTCTTGTTACTGGGTCATGTGGTGCCAGCAACTCTAATCCAGCCGATTCAGAATGCGTTCTTCTTAATGATTGTGATAAAAGAAATCAAGGGACACCTGAGGTCGCACGACGTTTGCTAGGATTCAAGTTTGAGAACAGAGTCTTGTCTTCCACCTGCACGAGCCGATTAGTTCATTATTTTCTATCTGACATATACTTTTGATCCAATTTCAATTAAATTTATCCAACCATTTCTGGATGATACATTTACAACAGGCAGTACTCAGGCCAAAGAAAAGTCAAGAAAGGCAGGCCAACTTTCCCAGAGGGTGGCCCGGAATGGTGGAATTTTGCAACGTGTTAAATATTAAGGAATATTCTGAAAATTGAGGTCGAAAAAACTCTGAAAAGTATTTTGAACCCCCCCTCCCCCCCAATTATCGCAAAATTAATTTATATAATTAGACTGAATTCCTTATCATCATTTTGAAATATCCCTGTTACAAATAGAGTATTACTGCCAGGACGTGCCAAGCGATATCTGGTTGGGGGGGGGGGATATTGAACTTAAAAAATTTGGGGCCCTTCCTTTTACGGGGCCCCCTCAAAATGTTTTCTGGTAAGCAAAAATGTTACAGTAAAATGTAAAGGGTGGGAGGGGGGTTTGGTTGGGGCGACGTTTTTTGGAAAAACGTTCCAAAAATTATTTTTGCATGCGATAATGGGAGGTTCAAAATACTTTCCAGACCTTTATCGACCTCAATTTCAGAACACGTTGCGCAATTCCAGCATTCCGGGGCCCCCTCTGTGAAAGTTGGGCCCCCTTTCAAGTTGACTTTTTTGGCCTGAGAACTGCCTGAGTGTTCTAGATGTATCATCCAGAAATGGTTGGATAAATGTAATTGAAATTGGACCAAAAGTATATGTCAGATAACGCGTAACCACAAACAGCCATACAAAAGAGAAGAAATATACTGGGGGAAATCCCTACATGTAGCTTAACACATACAGGAGAAATTATTTATAACTCATTAATTTTATCCACGAAGACGGAATTCATTTTGTAAACCAACTATTTATTTCATGGATAACTCACACGTACACGTTGTCTTTATCTTCTTGCTGTTTTAAAAGTGATGGTCAGTTAAAACTACTAAATAAGTAACAGTGCGTAGAAGTTTGGTCTGAAGTTTGACCAAAGTTATTGAGCAACAACAAAATAATCAAATATACAACTGTAATAAATATTACCAAATCATAAATCAACAGCGGGTCTTTTTTAAAAATAGAAAAGACATCTTTTGGCATGACATCACGGTGAAAGAATCCAGCTTTAATATTAATTAAATTAATTACTGTAAGTAAACGAATTACAATTTCAACGTAAACTGACCGATGTTTTTGACAAAAAGCGCGTGCACTATTTATGTTCGAAAAGTTATAAGCACGACGAGACGTGAAAGAACACATGTTTATGGGAAGGGGAGAGAAAATATACTTGCTATACTTATCGCGGCATATCCCTGATAAATTCAATTCAATTCATAAAATATAATTAAAACCAAATCCACCAAATCAGCGGCGCCGGCTATGGCAATATATTATAGGCATTACCTGAACAATAAGCGACTGTAAACAGTGTGATTTAGACCTAAATGCTTTCTGCCAATCGTACAGCTTTAGCTAAGTTAGTTTTATAGGCCTAAGCTTGTTTACTTGAAGAAATAAACGCTTTTGACGAGCTCTTTGGTTATTTATAGAACCACATGACTCGACGTTGATTACATAACATACGGTTATTCGGGTCAAATAGGGGTTACGAAAAAATTCGTCAAAAATTCAATTTTAAGTTGCCCCAAAATTTTATTTGATCAATAGCAAGCGAAAACATATTTCTTTGACCTGTTTATGAACTTTTTGTCTGAATCGATGTAACAATGGAGATATTTGCTGCCTAATATGGCATATAATAAAGAGGTTCAAAAATAAAAAACATTAAGAAAATCTGTAAAATATTCACTTTTAACAGAAATGTCTCTAAATTTCGTCTGCTACTCAATAAAGAACTCTAATTTATAAAACGAAATCATATTTTGTGAAATATTCCCATTATCGTGCAAAATAGAGCGATTTTGGTAGTGCCGTAAAATGACCTCTAAAAACCGAAAGTGGCCTGGGAAAACCAATTTCGACGTCTCTCTCCTTCAATATTTATCCAATCGAAATAAAACTTTCACAACATTAATACTTCATATAGGCCTACATTCTGACAAAGTTTGAAAGATTTTGAATTTTTTCATTTTACACGTCTTACCTGACTATTACAGACAACCGCTCTTAAACGCGTTAACTTTCCCAAATAGCCTTCTTCTGTAACCAGTTAGCGATTCATTGATATGAATTTTAGTAGATCTTCGAATTGAGCCTTCCTGTATTTCGGCGTTGACTGTGGGTAAATTTGCTGTTGATTTGCCTCTTAGTTTTGATCTATACTTGTAGACCTCGTCTCGCTTGCTTCGCTTAACAAATTTAACAATAATTCTGTCTTTAACCTTCGTTGTAGAAGGAAGCCTGTGAGCAATTGATATGTCATCATCTTGTAATTCTATATCCATTGCTGAACAAACTTCTAATACTAGAGTACTTGGGTCGTCTAATGGTATAATTGGTATGCCAGTTATCTCCAAGCAGTCACGTCTGAGGTATTGTTGCACTTCATCGAGCACGGCCATGTTGTGCGAAGCTTCTTGCTCTAAATACTCTAATCTTTCTCCCGATTCTTTACAATGACTCTGAACCGTTTTCATTTCTTTCTTTATACTCTGAGTAACCTCTATCACGTTTTCATACTTATCCGAGATGAATGACTGCGATGTTTCAACTCCTTGAATCTGATTTTTCACCTCGTCTATTTGGGTTTCAAATCGTTGCACAACATTTTGAATTTCGTTTCTAATTTCACGCTTCAAATCGTTTAATATTTCGCTTTTAAATGCAGGCATTAACTCTTTTGTCCAAAGCTCTTTAAAGGACTTAATTGTTAGAGCCATAATAATCTAGTGTTAAGGTAAAACTTCTGACTTTGTCTTGGAGCTCAACTGCTTAGCTCTTTCAATTGAAGGCATGTCAAAAATTCATATTTGTTGTCCTTGATTAAATAATGAAATGCCTCGTACTTTTCTTGAAATACTATCAAAACTGTGTTAGTGTTCGATATAAAAATTGCTATAGTCATAGAGGAGTTTTAGTGACCAAGAGAACATTTTTTACAATTTTTTTTTTGAAATGTTTCGAACTTTCTACGTTGCCCTCGCATGGATATATTCCGGTACTGCCCTCTCGCTCGGTCAGTAAGTTATTAAGATTGTGCGATGATATTTAATAGAAGAGATAAATAAACCATAATATTCTAGCTCCACCATTACTGCCATGCACTAACTCAAAAAATGATTTTTTCTATAAGCCTATATGCATATCTAAATAGAAATACCCTGGTTAAAAATTTCTTGATTAATCCGAAATTAACACTGTTGGGGTAACTTATAGTGTTAAACTGGTAGATCTTGATACGATCTACCTGTTTAACACTATAAACGAGGCACTACCAAAACGAGGCACTACTTCATTGCGTGTCAGGCTTGAAATAGCACGTATATATATACACAACGCGCGTGATTTGTCGAAATGCAGGCAAATACTGTTTACCATCTAACTTGTTCACAATTCGTTTGAGTATTTGACCAAGGGACCGACTTCGTCATAGCCTGCGTGTCAGGTTCTATGCTCGAAATAGAGCCTATATCTGCTACTAAAGTTAATAAAAAGTGGATTTATGCGTACGAATCAAACGCAAAATTCCCATTGGTCATGAATAAATAGCCTTGCCTTATAAGGTAATATCAATTTGTTGTTTACATAATATGGATATTCCGTACTGGTAATTGTACATTTGGGCGCATTATAATAACTGCCTTTGCTGTCTATAAACACGGTCAATAACCGTTATTATTTTTTAGTATGTAATTAATGGCCTTTTACTGAAAATTGGGATATTTATTTTCGAGATATTGGCGGAAAAATTGACCGTTTTTGCTTCGACAATCTAACTAAAAATCGCCGTTTTGATTGGTTGTTACTTTCGTTATCACTGTCCACTTTTCACCGACTTCAGTGGCAGGCTCAATTTCAACCATAGAGCCTGACACGCAGGCTAACTTGGTCAAGGCAGAGGCCTGGTAATATATGATTATTGCGAAGAGTTCTACGCCTCTACGGTATATATGTTAGATAAATAATTTTTAAAGCATCTTTAATTAAAATCGGAATATTTATACATTAATTCATTTGATACTGAATTCGAATTTTTCATGTGTACCCGCCGCGGAGATTAGATATCCGCTGCCCAAATTGTCCTTCCCTTTAGGCTTGTCAAATGGGTACTTATAAAATCATGAAAATTTTCTTCTGAACTGCTATCTAAATCTGTACTATTGTTACCATGCATTCACTAATTTCCGTCAATCATAACTTATGAAAGTTGTGCTGTGCACGTCAGTATAATAGATTATTTGTTCAATGAAAAAGACATTAACATAGTAGATAAAAAGTACTAAAATAATTACCTAGATTAAGAAGAAGAACAACAAGCGTTATAGATAGCTATGGAGCGTAATAGATACCAGTGGAGCGTTATAGATACCTATGGAGTGTTGTATATACTTATGGAGTGTTATATACAGCAATGGAGCGTTATAGATACCTATGGAGTCCGATAGTTAGCTATGCAGTGTTCTAGATACCTCTGGAGAGTTATAGACAGCTATGGAGAATTATAGATAACAGCAGAGAGTTATAGATACCTATGGCGTGTTATATATACCTATGGAGAGTTATAGATAGCTATGGAGCGTTTTAGACACCACTGGAGTGTTAAAGATACCTATGGATTGTTATATACACCTATCGAGTGCCATAGATACCTATGGAGCGTTATAGATACCTATGGAGCGTTATAGATAGCTACGGAGCGTTATAGACACCAGTGGAGTGTTATAGATACCCATGGAGTGTTATAGATAGCTATGAAGTGCTATAGATACCTCTGGAA